AGCGTCGACATTCGGGGACACAAACCAGACGATCGGTCAGATCGGTCATGGGGGGTGGGGGTGGGGGTGGTGATGTCACTTCCTGTTTCCTGTTCACCATGGCCGACCGGCTCGCGTGAGGAATGGGCTGTGGTTCCAGGGCGCTCCCAGGCTAAGGAATGTTGCGGGAAAGAGGGACAGACACACTAGAACAGTACCACCCTACGAAGGAAAATCTAAAATGTCATGAAAAACAAAGCAGGAGCGTGCTTCATCCGCGCTCCGTCCCTATTTCAGATCTGCTCTCGCGCCCCGATCGCTGTTCCGCGCCACACTTCACACCCCAGTCCGTTCTCGAACTGCCCTTCCCGATTCCGGGTCCCGGGGGGGGCTGGAGTCCGTCCCAGCAAGCAGCAGGCACGGGGCAGGGTCCGCCCTGGACCGGACACCCGTCCACCGCAGGGCACAGACACCAGCACCAGCCAATTAACCTCCCAGCATGGCTCTGGGCTGGGGGGGGGAAACCGGAGCACCCTGAGGAACCCCACGCAGAACACGCAGACTCCACCCAGACAGCACCCCCCAGGAACAGGACCCAGGGCCTCGCCTCTCATGTTAACGGCTCTTCCCTGCTTTTCACTGGGCAGCTGTCGCCCGTCAGGCCGGGAACAGGAGCTCAGGACACCGGTCGCACTCGGATATCACTACGAACGTCCGGATCAGGGAAGAACTTGCCTGTCCCAGTCCCGGACTCTGGCCTCTGGCCAGGCGATTCAATTACTCCGACCAAGTCAGGAATCACTGTCCTACAGCCCGGAGCAGGCCGTGACCCACACCAGGCACCGAGCTCAAGGGGCTCCACTGCACCCCAGCACTGTGACACGGCACCCCGAGCTCCTCTGTACCCCAGTCCTGACCCTGGGTGGGGCTAGGGAGTCACATATCGGGGGTCTGCAAAAATGTACTGGGCTGGACTGGGCCCGACTGTACTACACTGTACTGTACTGTACTGGGCTGGGCTGTAAAATAGGAACTGGAACGCGGATGAAACGACCGTCTTCAAGTAAACACGATAACACAAAACACAAATAAAAACGAGTGTAATATTAATAGTACAGCCGTCACCGAGGATGCGGCTTTCCCTTCTGGATTAGTGTGGGCTCCGGGGCGGCCAGGCCTAGAACTGCTCGGCCAACAGCTCACAGAGGCGCTTCGAGACGGAGTCCTTACTGCTGCGCAGAGTGAGGCGATACATCTGGGAGAGAGAGAGGGGTGAGTACACACACTGAACACTCCCGGACACTAACACTGCACTGAGAGAGAG